AGTCATAGATGTGAAAGTATGATTTCTTTTATTAAGGATTTCATTTGAAGCTTCAACGTTCAATATATATATATATATATCTTACTTACGCCTGTTACTCCTCGTGAAGGAGCATAGGCCGCTCACCAACATTCTCCATCCAACCCTGTCCTGGGCAATCCTTTCCAGCTCCTTCCAGTTGTAATTCATCCTTTTCATTTCTGTTTCTATTATCCGACGCAATGTGTTTTTTGGCCTTCCTCTTTTTCGCTTCCCTTCAGGATTCCAAGTTAGGGCTTGTTTCGTGATGCAATTTGACGGTTTGCGTAATGTATGTCCTATCGATTTCTATCGTATTTTGCTAATTTCTTCTTCAGCTGGAAGTTGGTTTGTTCTCTCCCACAGAAGGCTATTGCTGATGGTATCCGGCCAATAGATGTTGAGTATCTTGCGTAGACAGCTATTTATAAATACTTGTACCTTCTTGATTGTGGTTGTTGTAGTTCTCCAAGTTTCAGCTCCATACAGTAGAACTGCCTTGACGTTGGTATTGAAGATTCTCACTTTGATATTGGTTGAAAGTTGTTTTGAGTCCCATATGTTCTTCAATTGTAGGAATGAGACCGTTGTTTGCCGATCCTCGCCTTTACGTCTGCATCTGAACCTCCTTGTTCATCGATGATGCTTCCTAGGTATGTGAAGGACTCTACATCTTCCAGAGTTTCGCCATCAAGTGTGATTGGATTGCTGTTCTCCGCTTTGAGTTTGAGGACCTTGGTTTTCTCTTTGTGTATGCTGAGGCCTACTGATGCAGAGACTGCTGCTACACTGGCTGTCTTCATCTGCATCTGTTCGTGTGTACGTGATAGGAGGGCCAGGTCATCTGCGAAGTCCAAGTCGTCTAATTGGTTCTGAGCTGTCCATTGTATTCCGTGTTTTCCTTCAGATGTTGAGGTCTTCATAATCCAGTCGACCACCAGAAGAAGGAGGAAGGAGAGAGTAAACAGCCTTGTCTGACTCCGGTCCTTACTTGGAATGCATCTGTCAGCTGTCCTCCATGCACTACTTTGCACTGTAGTCCGTCGTATGAGTTCCGGATAATATTGACAATCTTCTCAGGAACTCCGTAGTGTCGAAGAAGTTTCCATAATGTCCTCCTATCTACACTGTCGAATGCCTTTTCATAATCAATGAAGTTGATGTATAGTGACGAGTTCCACTCACTGATTGCTCGACGATGAATATATGAGTTAGTTAAAGCTAAACACTATGGAAAACCTGATAGTACTAGACGATTGTTTCGTCCTAATTATGGGACTTCCTCATTAGAAGTGCTCATTCACGATGACTTATGTGGGATTCGAATGAAAGACATTCGCTTTTGTGCGTGAATGCTTACCTCTAGACCACTGAGGCGTGATTCGACTCTGTTAATATCTAAACTTCAAACAATGCATGAAAAATGCACCAACGTCTACTATCGCCTTCAGTGAGTTAATATCTCACACAAAATTGGTTGAACTCTACTGGTCCAGCTGATATGGATACACTAAGTGTAAGCGATTCCATTTGTCGAATGAAAATAGAGCTTGAAATAAGATCCTAAGTAAACAAAATCGAAACTTTTAAAATTGTTGTACTCAGTCAATTAACTGAACATTGATGCATTCGAAAAAATGCTTGTAAGAAGTGATACAAAAACCTAGTGATCGGTATAAGTGACGAGCTACAAATTACTATTATGTACTATTACTTACTTACTTACTTACTTACTAACGCCTGTTACTCCTCGTGAAGGAGCATAGGCCACTCACCAGCATTCTCCATTCACCCGTCCTGGACATCCTTTCCAGCTCGTTCCAGTTGTTATTCATCCTTTTTACATATCTGCTTCTATTTCTCGACGTAATGTGTTCTTTGTATCTTCCTCTTTTCCTCTGCACTTCAGAATTCCAAGTTAGGGCTCCTCGTGATACAGTTTGATGATTGGCGTTTAGAGAACTATTAATTACTAAGTGACAAGTATAAATGAATGAATGAGGATAGCATTATTTAAGAATTTACAATGAATATCTTCTATGATCCTCCTTGTCTCTTTTTTTCTCTTTCCAAATTTAGTTCACTGAATTATACTCTCTGAATAATATCTTCAAACCCTAATCTTTCCGATTACTGCTTATACTCTTACTATCTCTACCACCACGGGATTTGAATCGACAATTGTATCTCTGTGCTAAAATGGTATGGCAACTCGAACTGATGTACATACGTACGAAGTTCTGTGTTGTTGCTGACTGACTGACTGTTCTTTATGTCTGAATTTCAGTCATGTTTGTTTAGGATATCTGAAACTTGTGATGTTTGTTGTAATACTGTTTTTAACTAACTTTTTATGAAAGATATTGATTATGGCTAACTGAATAGTTGAGTAGATAATGCGTTTGGGGTTTAAATGAAAGTTACTAAGTTCAATGCTTGAAATAAACATCAATACCAAGATTCACCTACATTCAACTGATGAATCTCAAGTAGGACGAAACAAGCGTTCTGGGTTCCAACTTTAGAGTTAAGATTCATTTATGAACACCTTCATCATAATTTTAAACCTTAATCTACTTCTTACATAAGTCTTAATTCATTTTTAACTCTACTAAACAGTAAAGAGAATATAACTCCATCTAGTATTACCTTCAAAGGTATTTACCGATAAACGAACATTTGATAAGTGGTACTTAATGATCAATTTCTGATCTTACACTGATTAATTGATAGATTCTATTGATGATTAGTCCATAACTTTGAAACTGTTTCTTTCTTTCTTTCTTTCTTTCTAAATTCTAACTAGTTTGACATTATCATCTTTAGATGCGAACACATGACATTGTCTCCTTTTTACTAATATTACTAATGACAATCATGCACAACAGCTGATCATCACCACCCAAAAATATAAACACAAAATAAACATCACTAATCTATATAAAGGTAAGGACTTGTTTATTTGTTTTCGTTTCAGTCGTGAAAATGAGAAACAACGTTTAAAAAAAGGAAAGAAAATTTGTATTGTAATTTATGGTAAATTGGCCGGATTTGGTTCAAACAAGGTCACTATGTCAATGCTTGAGATCATGAGTTAATTGAAGCTAGATCGCCATGGAAAACCTAAAAGTACTGGACGGCCGTTTCGTCCCATTCTGAGACTCCGCAGCATTTCACAATCACGATCCTGTCTCGTGAGATTCGAACCCAAGATCTATCAGTCTCGCGCGCGAGTGCGTAACCACTAGACCACTGAGCTGACCGGCATCCAACAGTGTTAATGTCTAATTTAGCGACACATCTATCAGTGTCTTTAGTGAGTTACTATCTTACAACAGACCCGGTTGAACTGCACTGTCAATATTATTTGGAGAATGTTTGCAATATATGGAGATCACTGCAAAAACATTTTCGTTTCATGTGTAACTTTGTTTCTGTGAAAAGTGAAAAAAATGTACTACCAGGGAGTGAATACAAGACACAAAAGATTTCGATTTAATTACAGACCATGGGGTTGAAATCCAAGTAGTTTACATTTTTACTAATCATTATTAACTTGGTAATGACCAAGTAATTCGTCATCCGTGCATGTCTGTGCTGTAGTTTCAATTCATGAAACCCGGTGACCTAGGCTTGTATGTCACAAAGAGTACCAGTTCTCTCAAGATTCCAAGTAGGGTTGCTGAAAATTCTTATCTAGAATGAAATCTGGATCGATGGTTTCGTACTAACAACCTTTAACTAACCATCATTTCACACTTTCAAATCCAACCAACCCGTGATATATATGCAAAGTATTCACCATTCAGCGCTATCAGTGTGTATATCTGTTACTATCTCACTTTCATACTGACTAAGTTCCATCAATTTATTACTTCAATGAGATAGAAAAGTAAAGAAAACACTTAGAATACAAGCATTTCATTGTCATTTTCTCTTTCACGAAAAACTGTTTCAAAGGAATATCGTATGGATTTATTCATCGTTGAATGTTTCTAAATCAGTAATTATAGGTAACTATTGATTGTTTAAAATTTAGATTGGAATGATCTGCAAAAACAAAGCGTGTTTAGTAAATTAAATGAATACCTTCCGACATTACCTGGTGGTACAATAGAATTGTCTCTTCGAATAAAGCTAAAGTGTAAAATAAAAAAGAATTTCATCATTGGATTCATGAGTCAAGTAAAGCTAAACAACTATGGAAAACCTGGTGATATGCTTGAATGCTATTACGAGTTCACTTTACTCGGTAAACGGAATGAAAGTCAAAGATTTAATGACACGATAGTTATTCTAAACCGTTGTCCCTGGACCTGCTAATTAGATCAAGTAGTCTTGATGAGGCGTAGAGACTGTATTCTACAAACACTCAGAAAATACGAGGTCACTAAGAACACAAATCAAACGTACTTATACAATGATAAGAACGCCCTTGGGAGAGCCATAAAATAGCGTAGTAAAAAAATTCGTCAATCAATGACAATTAAGGATTCTCAAGTGGGAAATATAAGCTGTAGGTCAACTAAGCGTCTCTTGAAGAGAAAACATAAAATTCAAAATTTCAGACTAAAATTACAAAATTAAGACCTTTTCCAAGTGATTTCTAGGGATCTAACATCCTCAACACCTAGAAGCATTACACAGCTGTTCATTCTAATCTGTAACTCCTTAGGGGCAGAGCTCATTTACAATCGCTCATGTGGGAGTCAAATGAAGGATATTCGGTCGCACGCGCCGAACGCTTAACATGTAGACCAATGAGTCAAAATCCAAAAGTGTTAATATCTTTAACTGAAGCTTTCCAGTTCTTTCACGTTTTCTATGGTGATCTAGCTTGAATCGATTCATGAACTGAACTATTAAACGTATTACAATCTCTATAATATCCCTATTCTGATAAAAAAGAACTACAGTAAGAAGTCATGGCGAATAAAGGTCAACCAAATCAAAATATTATACCAAAATTAGCTATAAACCATTGAATACTGTTTCAATGGTTTAATGGTTTCATAATCACTACAGGCTTTTGATGATCTTGAGTGCCCCTGATCCTACGTTGTAGCTGACTGACGACTGACTGACTGATAGGCGTTTAGTCCGTAGATACAAGATATCATCTTTGAAGGAGACATGTATACTCAATGTATACTCTACTTCTCATGTAAAAAATAAATCACTTTTTTTTGTTTTCAAATTGATTTAAAAAAGTAAAAGAACGCATTCAATTATTCTTTGATTAATCTATTGAAGAAGTGTTGTTTTGAAGGATACCAAACCTTGGTAACAAAAAACAAAACAAAACAAATACTGTACTCTATATATGCAAATACATATATATATATATGTAGATATAATTATGACAGAAAGAATTTGATCATTTAGATACATAGATACATAGATATTCATTTATGATATAAGCCATAGTAACTAATGTCTTCTTGTATCATCATTCTATCTGATGGTCACATGCTTCCATCTATGACGTTAGTTATTATTGTACACGTGTGTATGTGTGAGTGTGTGTGTGTGTGCGGGTTTGTTCGTTTCTCAGTGAAAACACAACACCACCACCACCAACAACAACAATAACCACATTGAGATAAAAGTCATTATTAGATATAATAAACTGTAATATTGTATAACTATGTACTCTGGCATTCATACACACACACACACACACGACACATACACACATTCACACATTACAGTACAAAATTTACAAAGATATATATATTAATGGTTTTTTATGAAGTAACTCTATGGTACTTTAGGATACTTCTATTTGTCGTAGACATTTTAATTTTTCTTTTTCTAGTTAATTTTATTTGATTAGAAATGAGTGAATTCATATGGAAACATAAAGATCTACTATATATATATATATATTACATAAGTATAATAAAACGTAATATACATGTGGTTACATTGGCTTTCTTCTATGCAGTTTCGGTTGCGTTGTTTCCTTTCACTCTCTCACTCCCTCTCCCTCTCTCTGAAGTTTGTCTGGTTGAATTTGTGTATTGGATCGATTGTTTAACAAGATTGTGTGAGACGAAAATAATAATAATAATAATGAAATGGTTTCTGAGTTTCATGAATCCTCTTCTTTCATTCTACAAACATTTGCTTAAAACTATTTAGTTAATATTATTTTTTATAAATAAACAATTATTATTCATAGTGGAACACTATTGGAAACTATAGAGCTTACTTACTTACTCCTGTTACTCCTTATCGAGGATTATGGGCGCCTCCCACCAGCATTCTTCATCCAACTCTGTTTTGGTCAAACCTTTCCAGTTGTTTCTAGTTGATATCCATTCTTTTCCTATCGACTTCTAATTTCCGATGTAGTATGTTCTTTGAGCTTTCTCTTCTCTATTTACCTTCAAGATTGAAAGTTAAGGCTTGCCTTATGATGCAGTTTAGTGATTTCCTCAATATATGTATACAGTGTTCACCTATGACCAAGTTGGAGATAGAATCTAAAGATTTTAAATCTTTCAATGATCCCTTAAAAATCTGATTTAGGATTTAATAGTACATATTTCTATATTAAATTCATTAGTGACAATTATGCAATGCCAAATGTTATGACTGTTCCAATCTAGACAAGTCTAAACTCTATTGATCACAAGTTTTATTTTGACATCCGTAACTTATTTCCAAATGATTTACTAGTCATTATATGACTAGAGTATTGATGGAGGAGTTTTGTAAAAATTGCTTAAATTCATAGGTAGTAATCATCACAGATTGAATCAAAGCATTTAGGTTCGAGTTCTAACTAGATTATGGATGTGTTTAAATGACGTTTCCCATACCGAGGTTAACTGAATGTCCAGTACTCCCTGGTTATGAGTGATATCCCATTTAAGGCCAATCTCTAGCGAATACCATTTTCAATACAAATGTCAAGACGGTTCTACTGTATGGGACGGAAACTTGGAGAACTATGAAAGTCATCATCCAGAACATACAAGTGTTTATTAACGCAAAATACTTTGAATCCGTTGGCCGGACACTATTAGCAACAACCTACTGTAGGAGAGAACAAACCAGACTTCAGTGGAGGAAGAAATCAGGAAGAAGCGTTGGAAGTAGATAAGACACATAATGAGGAAAGCACCCAGCTGTGTCACAAGGCAAGCCCTCGCGTGGAATCCTCAAGGCCAAAAGAAAAGAAGAAGACCAAAGGACACATTACGTCGAGAAATGGAGACATACATGAGAAGAATGAAAAACAATTGAATAGAAGTAGAAAGGAAGGCATAGGATAGAGCGGGATGGACAATACTGGTCAGCGGCCTATGCTCCACTGGGAGTAACAGGAGTAAGTACGTAGTTACTACTTGTTAAAATGATCAACTGTACTCCAAAACGTCCGACTACATTAGTTCTAAATAATGTTTGTAAAATGCAAGATGATTAATAAAAAGTAGTGTGTATATAGTGTGGTGTGTGCTACTGATATCGACAGATATAAATAGTATGTATCATCAATCAAAAGTGAATTACCTGATAGCAGAAGGTTAACAAGATCTAAGAGAAGAAAACGAGAACAGAGAATGAATGATGTAGAAATGAAGGAACAATCAAGTTTTATACAATTACCTGACACTTTACAAGTCAAGTGTACACTGTATGGTTCGATTGTCTCGACTTGTGTTCTTGTTCACCAAAATAGAAGTGTAAAATTCATTAGAAAAGATTCTACTATTACAGTAATGATTGTTTTTTCCCATCCAATATGTATACAATCAGATTCAATAAACAATATTGTCTTGTACATTGACTTTTTAAACGAGTAAATGTAAACGATAATAAGAGTAGAGTGTCGGAATAAAATGACAGTTCTTGTAAATAAATAGATTATGCAAAACGAATCACAAATAATACAAAGAAGTTTCCATTTCTTGGTTGTTGGTTGATCCTTGATGATCGATATTGAGCGATCACCAGTTAGATGTTATCAGTTCAGGAATCAACAGTTGAATGATGTACATTCTATTTGCTGCATATTTTCAGTAACCATGATATATCTGATTAGGTTTTATTTACAATTTGTACAGCGAAAGATTGTAAACTTTCAATAAACGCCCATAATAAGTTATGTGATTCCACTTGGTAGCCACTATTCGTCTCTAGATATAAAGCTTGTAATTTAAGACTATATCGAGGATATCCATACAGGATGTGTATATACCGACAAGAGATTGATCAACTGCAGTCCTAAATAACAATGAGAAGGTAAAGGTAAACAACACCAATAGAACTTATAACATACTGATGTGTTAAAGCAAACAAGCTCAAGCATCACTTGTTGAACTATCTAGACAGCAGGAACAGGTAGACCAGATATTCAATTAGGCTGCCAATTCGAATTGTAATTTCTTATTTACATAGATTATCACTAATTAATATCTGTCTTCTAGAATCTTCAGAAGGATGTAAACTGTTTTATTAGTCTACAAATTGTTTTATATTAGAACTGATGATTTATAATTACGATGACAGGTTTAAGGTTAATATTATAAAATTTGTTTAGAGATTGAGCTGAAACTTGAAGAACTACTACAACCATCATAAACAAAGTACAAGTATGTATAAACCATTGTCTACGTAAGATACTGAATGTTCGTTGGCTGGATACCATCAGCTATGGCCTGGTGTGGAAAAGAACAAACCTGCTTCCAGATGATGATGAAATCAGGAAAAGATGTTGTAAGTGGATAGAACATACATTACAGAAATCACCAAACTACATCACGAACCAAGCCGTAACTTGGAATCCTGAAGGGAAACGTAGAAGAAGAAGAAGAAGAAGAAGAAGAAGAAGAAGAAGAAGGAGGCCAAAGAACACATTACATCAGGAAATAGAAGCAGTTATAAAAAGAATGAATAGTAACTAGAAACAACATACTACTTATATCTTACGACATTAGTAGAACACATCACAGCTTCACCACTGTACATTTGTACACGTATCTATCTATCTATCAACTTATCTATATCTCTTTATCTATCTATCTTGCCCTATTATCGTTACCGACTATTCTCATATAAGTTCCATTCAAAGGAAGATGTTCAGTTCTTTGAACTCATCAGTAAAATAAAAGCGAGATGTAATCAAA